CACATCAAAATTAGTTCCTTTTTAGTTTTGTGACAAAAAGGATAAAGTGAAAAGTGTCTATATATGTACATCCCAATGTTTCAAGCTTCTTGATTTCTGTTATTTTCCTGACGTGCCCACCAGCCATGTTTATGGAAGTAGTGCAAACATATCTATCTAGTGACAGCCTCCTCCAGACAGAAAAACATCACCACTGATGCCACCCTTCATCTTTAAGACATTGAGGTTGTATTGTTTGTACTATTAATATGTCCCCCAGTTATATCTCCCTCAGCTGGCTATAGGGCCTGAAGTAGTCTTTTACAGAAAACTGAAGTTTGTCAAGAAACATTTCATGGAGCTAAGCAAATGGACTGTGTCTATATTTAGAGGAAAATATTTTTGAAATATCTCCTCAACCCTGCTACAGCAGTGTCTTCCCTGAGAAGTATTTTCCTTGGGAATGACAAGGACCCTGCAGAGCATCCAAGGCCAGTGCCATCATCAATGTATAACCTTCAGTGCAGCGGTAAGTGCGTTGTTTGCTCTGCTTAAATCATTTCCATCTTGCTTGCAGGGAGACAATAATTACAAACTAAGATACTTTTTACTGAAAGTGGTTAGAAAAAAGGACAGTGAGTAGTTAATAGTTACAACTACTAACTGGTGAGAGCTAACACAAACAGTTTTTTTGTGCTGTTGAGCACAAGAACCACTTCCTTGTTCACACCACATCCTCATGAGATGTCACGCTAACACTTCTGATTAAATAGCAGAAATTTTACTTAATGCTTCAGAAGAGGACATTGTTTTCAAGTCTGGTTGCTCTTTGGGGTTTCTTTGGCTTTATTTCTTGGAATGCACAAGATAAGTGGCCTTTCTCATGAGAAAATTACCTCTGAAATGGTTAGTTGCTCAGGGAGAAGGAAAGATGGAGAGGTGGAGGGTGAACCCTAGTCATAGAACCATAGAACCATCCAGGTTGAGAAAGACCTTTGGAAGAGATTGGTTGGGAAAAATAATGTAGTCCAGCTGTTAACCCAACACTGTCAAGCCCACCATGAACAGGATATGCTTGAAGTGAAGCAGTGGTGGTGGCTGGTCCAGCTTGTCAGGGAGCAGGAGAAGGGAAGACTCATTGAGGCTTTCTGGCCTGGGGGAAAAAGTCTCTTGATCCCCAGGAACCACAGCCTTGTAAGACCAGGGGGTACCAAGCTGAGGCTGCTTGGCTGCTCCCTACCCACGGTAAGGAGCTCATCAGCTTAAGCTGATTTTAACCCAAAGAAATAAGATACATGAAGGGTGCTTGTCTGGCTTGGCCTTGGTTTGGAGGCTCCTGACCATAAGGAGGGAATTTTGTGCTTTGGTTAATTCAGGAACTCTCTATGCTGGATAGTTAGGGTATGTGCTGATGATTCCAAGAAAACAGAAAGCCTTTGATTAATTACACAAAATATTTTATAAGCCTGTGACAGAAGCTTGCTGGTCTCAGAGCAGTGGAGGCTGAACTCCAACTAATAACAATGAGGAATGTTGTAAATATATATAGCAGACTCTCTCAAATTAGCTCTATGTCCTGTGTTCCTGATTCCTTATTTTACTGCTTAATGTGTAAGAAATCCTGTACTGTCAACAGTTTTCTTATACTAGCAAAGATGTAAGCAGTTTATAGTCTCCTTGTTTAACTTTACCCTTTTGCTTCTGATTAAGCCTGTTTGTGTAATAAATTTCTTTATACCATGCAAATGAGCCAGAGAGAAATTTGAACCAGAAAAAAATGACCATTTTGTTATTTCCATGTATTGTATGTGGGTCCAGTGTATCTCCTTGTGTGTTTGCATGGGAATGCTGATAAGCCATGAGAAAATGCTTCAGCTGGGATGTCTATTTTTAGTAAGTATCTTGCATGACTGATCTGATGCTAAATAAAGTAGTAAATCTAGAAAAAGTTACATCTACTATTTGCTGACAGCTAATGCTCAATGTAGAGCCAGGAACAATATTCATCCTTATAAAGAAGAGACATCATGGGTATTAATTATTTATATTGAAAAGTCCAGATTAAATTCCAGCTTGGCACAGCACTTCCCCTGCTCCTCTTCCATCAAAAGTTAACAGCTGAATAACAAACAAAATCTGCTATTAGTGGTGGAGTACCATACTAGGGGATGTCCAGGCTTCCCCTGTGCCCCAGGGTGGGTTATGTGATATAGATGCTTGTGCCCCTTTTTGTTAATTACTTCCAGTAATTAACTACCCCCTTGTGCACTCTGCTTCTCTTTTAACTGGGAAGTATTTTACAAAGTCCCAAGTTTTTTTCTTGCAGTTAACAGTTTGGCTTTCACAATGATTTGTTTTCTGCAACCTAATCCAAATGTTATTAATGTGCTCCTTCATTCAGCATCCTCCTCTCTCAGCAGGACAAACAAATCCTTTACCCAAGAGGTCTTACACACTTCTCTTCTTGCTGGAATATGCATTTTCTGCCTTTAGTTGACTACTCTTTGTTTTGAACTATGTTGCCAAAAGCTGCACATGCTACCTGAATGGAGAACATTGCAAGACTGACATGTTGAAAGGACTTTTTTTTAATTTCTCTGCTCTCTTCCCACATCTTTCAGCCTCTGCAGTGTTCCCTCTTGCCTGGTACTGGTGCATCTTGTTATTCTTACCACCTACAATTCCTTAGTCTTGCAAACTGCTTGAATACAAAGTTCTTTCTTAACCTTTTGTGGGAGATGATTTTACAAAATCTCTCCTTCCTGGAGCAGTGTAAGAAATAAATTATTATAAGCGCTACAGGACATTTTTCATGGCAACAGTGCTCCAGAAGAAAAAAAAATAGTCTAATTTGGCACTTCTATGGATGTTGCTCAATCGTTTCCCAAAGTAATGCAAGGCATACATTCCTACTGCAGTTTCATGAAATCATCTTGGCCACATCTCCATAACAGAATGGAAAAGGACAGTGGAAAGACCAAAGGAGAGAAGAGGGTAAGTATCAAGCTGGCTTTGAGCTCCGCCTGGAGCTCAGAGGTTGTTTACTTTTGGCTGACCTCTTCCTTTACTTCTTTGGTACTTGTGGTGGTCATCAGATTTCCTCAATTTCATTTACACTGAAGCTCTATTCCCATGGTGTGGGCTGGAAGGCACACAGCAGAACAGATGTTTCACCCATGTTGAGCATTTATCTTCATTTAGTTGATTGAAACAGGGAGACCGTGAAATTCTGCAGGTATGGCTGTGAACATACAGGCTGCATCCTTAATCCCGTATGCAGAAGAGATGGTGGCTTGTGGAGACATGGCTTATGCTCCAGTGAAAAGGCCTGCTGTGGCTTCTTCCCTTCCCCCTTCAAATTGTGAGTAGCTTGAAATCCTGTTAGGCATACAGACAAGGAGGAGTTGTATGGCACCCAAATAACACAGGTTGACCAAACTCGTGTTTGCTGCTGTTCAAATGCACCCATTTGAGCATTGCCTTGCCTCCCCAGTGCACCTTGGAGGTGGAATTGGTGACACCAATGCCTCAGCAGTAATGCTCCCTGATTGGAACCCAAATTGCAGGCATCACCTCAGACTGACAGGCTGAGACATTCAGGAAATCTTGGCATAGTGATTTTCTCTCCAGGGTTATAAACTGCCTCAGAGAGGGGTCTGTGCTGACAGGCAGGTCAGCAAGGCCCAGGTACAGAGCTCAAGAAGTGCTTTCTATCCCTGTGCATCCCAGGGCAGTGAGGACTTGAACAAGGTCAATTTCTGGTCCCACTTCAAGCAGTAGCTGATCTTCTAAGAGTTCCACTTAGGTTACCTGTATCAGAGAGAAACTTCAGAGGATTATTAGCTTGTCCTAGTGTCTTGGCACACTGAAAGAAATGTTTTAAGGAAAATAACTCTGGAGAAGGCAGTTCTGGGTAATGTATTGGTATTTGAGGCTCCTTAATCCAGATGTGGCATTTCTTATCATGTGGGTCAGCTATGAAATATGCACAGATATCTCCTGCTCTATGCTGCTACCATCTGTGTCTGCTTTCTCCCTGCTAGTGGCACAATCCCAAGGAAGGTTAACTCCATGATAAGCAGTCCCTTCCTGAATTGTAAAACTGAGTCACCAGCACAGCCCAATGAGGACTGGAAATGGTGGAATATGTTACAAAGTATAAATTGTGGTTTAGGACTTCAGGATATATTATTTTCTAGAAAACATTTAATATTTAGCATAGGTTTAAAATCTCCCTCATCTTTCACCAGGAAACGGGTTTGAATATCAGCGTTTCAGCAATTCGAGTAATTAATGTCCTTAAGGATTCTCCAAAGATCCCAAGTGGCCTCTATACCCATCCCTACTACACTTTGCAGAAGGTGACATGACACATGCCCTAGAAGAGTGTGCTATTTCTCAGAGGTGACAGTTCCTTTTCTCAGCAACAGAAGGCTACAATTCTTTCCACTGAATTCAAATGCATTAGACTCTACTGCCTTTATGCCAGCTTCTCAAGAGAAACACGGTAAGGCTCTAGAAGAGATATAGGAATTTTCTTCATTTCTGTAGGTGCTAATTAAATACAAGTCAATATATATGTTGCAGCTTGTTTTATACACCTAATATACATCTATATGCCTTCTGCCAGATGCTATATGCTCATGTGTTTCAAATTAACTTAATATTTATGGTTAATAGATCACGTCTTAAACATAAAAAATACTAATAATACTAAGCCAAAATAATAAACATATTCCACAACAATCATGGGGTCATAATTAAAAAACTCCTGCATATACATTTCTAGAACTGAAGCCTTGAGAAAATCCTACTTATACAGTTTTCAAGACATTTCAGTTGGGCATTTTCCTCAGTCAAGTTTCTAAGTGAAGGTAGGCTTTATGGCTTTCAAATGTAAGGAGACCAACTGGTATCATTAGAGATCACCATGCAGCTGAAGATCAGACACATCATCAAACATAACTCCCCAAAAATGCTACATATGGCTGCACAAGTATTGAAGAAGCTACATCACAAGCCTGTTGGAATCCATTATTTATTCTGCAGTTGCACTCAAAATGCAAATACCATCGCTTAAATGCTGAACACAGTAAGTTAAACCCACTGTTAAGACAGACTTTGACTTTCACAGGCACAACTTGAGTGATTTCTTTAGAATCAGTGCTATTTTTTCAACAGTGAACCTTCTAGGTTAAACAACCAGGGCCACACCATCAGAACTGTTCTGGCTATTTATGATTACTGGAGGAATTATATATTCTGTGTTTTATAAATTCATCATGTTTCACATTTATAATTTCAGCAAATTTGAGATGAGGGCTTGTGCACAGAATAGCTCTCTGAAGTACCAGTCCACCTCTCAGCCAGATTTGGTAGAGTACTTTGACTGCCTCTAAATTAAGTTTAATCCCAGCTCTGCATCTTCTGCACATCCCAGGTAAAGTTTAATGCTGGAAGTTTTAGACAAGGAACAGAACCCAAACATGAAAATTGTCTTATCTTCGTCATCTTTCCCACACACATACAAAGCACCTAGTTAAAGTGCCAAAGCATAAAGTGTCACATTGCCCAAATCTCTAAAAAATTAAGTTTAAAAATTATTAGCCATATAAAAATAATTTTGATATGTCTATATACATGCTATTTGTCTAGCAAAACCAGATCTCTGCTATTCTTGGGCAATTTGTTCAGAAGTCACTTCTGGATAACTATATTCCTAAGTGATAGAATCTGTACTAAGCATTTACTTTGTCTCCCATTTCTTCTGCATAAGCAAAACATGGGTTCCTGCACTTTGTCCTTGACACTGCTTTCCTGTTTTAACCCTCTTAGCTCCACCTAGATTTTCCACTGACTCAGGAGGAGCATGCAACAGTGGGAGGCTCTGATATTTTGGCTTTCTTGGTTCTGATGTACTCTTGCTAAAGAACAGTTCTTCTTCCCTCTCCATCTATAGCTATATAAAAATAATATAAATTTCAGGTTCAAATAAATACATTTGAAATTGGACATCTTCTTTTTAGTTCTGTATTAAGTCTGTAGCTGAAATTTTTTTGAGTACAAATACACAAAAATACACTAGCAATTTTCTTATTTTAGCTCAAGTTCTTTCTTCAGCTGCACTGTGCTTCACAAACTTGTCTCTACTGAAAGCAGAAAAAGCCATTTCACTGGATACTAAATATGGATAGATACTGTATGTATCAGAGCTACTAAAATAGGTATTTGGAACAATTACTTCTTCAGTGCCTGGTGTTGTACAAACATCCTCCTGTAAGTGTCTTGTGCTTCTTCTGACCCATTTGCCCAGCACTGAAGTACCTCTGTGCAGATTTAAACTGGGCAATATTTTTCTCTATGTACATCTGTATCACAACCCCTCCATCAGTCAGTCCAAGCAGCTCTAAAAAGAGAAGACATGAATATGCAGATTCACTGCACATGTAATCTTTGTAACTGGGAAGAAAAAATAGGATACACTTCAAAGTTTCCTCTACAATCATGTCATCATTCATCCCACGAAGCAGCACTGCCAGAGATTTCATAATTGCCTCTGTACCAGTACTAGAAAGGAGAGGATTCTGACAGCAATTCCTTGGTGTCCTTGGCAGTAGAAGATCACCTTGTGAGCTTGCAGTACTTTGGCAGACACAAGGAAGGTAGGACAAAAAGGGAAGACTAATTGAGGAATTTAAAGGGAAAGGCAGACTACATAAAACCTAACAACCGAACAAGGAATTAACATTTTTTGACCATGAAGACACCAAAGCCTGTTTGATGCATTGTTTTTAACAGCCTTAAACAGTACTAAATACCTTAAAACACAAAGAAGCTTGAAGAAGCCCCCACTATATTTGGTATTACATATTTTTAAGCTCTCTGGTTAAGCAACAAAAAAGGAAAGTTGTCACTATTCAGAGTTCAGTTACAGTGACCTGTGTCATAAAGCAAATATTGCTGGGGACTTTCATCTGAATTTTTGGTTTCTTAGGAGTCCCTTACCTGTCCCTGGATTGTATGCATACAATTGGTTCCACAATATCAGGGATCCAAGATACCTTCCCAAACCCCTACACAGTTAAACTTACCACTGTGAGCACTGGCAAAACATGGGGGATAATTACAATGTCACTTGAGCAAATGACAAATACAAGTATTAAAGGCTAAACATCAGATTTTAGTGAGAATTTATGTTCCTAGCAGGGAAAGAATTATTTTTCAAATGCTCTCCTATGTATCTGTCAGAATCACTAGAATCCTTGAAATTTGCACCTTAAAAATAAACCCTGCATCCTTCAGCAGATCTCAGAAATTCTGTAGTTGAGCTTTGGCCTTCATTTGTTCATGTTTCAAGGTGTTAATTTATTGCAAAGATCAATCTAGGGGCAGTACCACAGAACACTCCACTGCATATTGGCAACTCTGTCCAGTTGTGGCTAAAGCAACACCAACCCCTGAAGCAAACAAGTGGCTCTTTCTGTTGCTTTTGCAATTACAAGGTTTGCAGTTAAGAAAATATACACAGAAAGAAAACCTGCCAAAAACCCAACCAAATCAAATCCCCACACACACTATTACATGCAAATTTAAGTTAATAACTCCTCAGAAGTACAGGGTATCACAGAAGATCCATTGGAGGTTTGTATTTTGACAATTGCGTGATTAAAAGCCCACAAAAAAAAACCTGTGGAAAGACATCTTATGACCTAAATGAGCTTTGGATCAGCTGTAAGGGCATTTCTTTATACACTGAGACTGTTATGTACAACAGTAAATAAGTTACAGTTACAACATCGAAGAAATGCCAATAATGAACACTTATTTTTGCTCTCAAGTACAAATAGCTTTCTTATGAATAGTATAATTTAACAGCTTAGCTATATAATATCCACATGATCAAAGTAAATTTTAAAAACAAATTACAGATGCAGCTGAACACACTTTAAAAAAATTTAGGCAAATATAAATATATATATATATATTACAAAATTACACCTTCAATGAGATGCTGCCTGTACAGCAACCTGCAGCATCAAAATCTTGAGCACCCAAAACTGCTGGAGAGAGCTGAGTTCAGACTGCATTTTCAAGCCCACACACACATTTTGTGCTTTCTACTGAGGAAAGATTCAGTAGAGATTCAGTCTATTCCTCACAAAGCTGCAGAGTGTTGAGCTGCAGAAAGCATCTCGCACTATGCACTGGGATTATATGCCAATTGTCACATGAAAAAGCACTTACTAAAGTTGTTTGGATCCTCAACACAAAGGTTCGGGTGTCAATCAGGAAGAGCATTACCTCAATTTAGTACATAACTAATGCTAAGCTAAACAACACAATCTGATTGCAAGGAATGCACTGGCTTTTAGGTCACTGTTTGTCTATGTTTTGAGTGCCTTTTTGAGGTCAGAGTAGAAATTGGCCAGGGTACTAGACATGGCAGTGTCTACTGCAGACTGTGGTAGCATCCCTCGCAGTTCAGTCTGGATGTAGCCTGTCAAAAGACTGTGGCCAGGAGAGTCCTTGAGAGGGACACAGAACCAGCCACAAGGGTGATTGAATCCACGGACAAAGTTTGGTCTCACGTCTCCATAGTCCAGGCTTATGCCTATCAAGGAAAATAAAACAAACAAACAAAAGGGAAATTAATTTGAGAGCGGTTAAAAAAAAAAAATTAACATGCAGTAAATTTGAAATATATAAGTTTCTGGTTGGGGAATTTAGTACTATTATTGACAGGCACACTGCAAGTTTCTGGGTATTTTCATGCATGAAATTTGCTGTTCATCCAAACTCAGAGACAGACAGGAGAGCATGATAAGCAAAAATTCAAATGTTAAAAGAGAACATTCCTCCCATTCACAAGAAGCAAGTTGTTACTCATCCCAGTTTACTCTAAGACCTGAGCTGGAGGACTCAACTTGTCTCTAACACAAGCTGGCATAAATGAAACCTGGCAGAAAGGAATGGTTCATGGGTAAACCAGTAACTTGTACACTTCCTTAAATATGTAAAATGTTAAAACACCTTTAAAATTTTTAAAGCACCTTGAATTTATCTGTTGAAGACCATCTTAGACCATTTTTGGAATGTTTACTACTACTAAATCTGAATCAAATCTTAAGCCAAGCAACTGTTGCAAAATAAGAATTTAGCAGAGGCAGGTGGTGGCTTACCACATGTTAGAAGCCCATCTTCATAGCTTGTAGTATAAGAGAAATCAACAAACTCTCTTGGTGCTATAATGTTCCAGAGCTGGCCAGCAGTTGTATAGCGCATCACACAGCAGTTCTTGTGGAGTGACAGAATTATAACGGCAAAAAAATAAATATATCTTAGTATAATGAATAGAGGGAAACATAATGCTTGCAGGCAGTTAACATTTTCATGAAGGTCATAGCCTCTGTCAACTATACTGCCAATTCAGTGAGGTCTGAATGGCTGTGCCATTCTCAACCTAAAAGCTGGAAGTTTTAAGGACTTGTGGTCCACAACTGAGAGCTGTGGAAGCAGAGAATATCTGGCACCATAAAGGTTTAAAAATCTAAAGTTACACAATTTTGGCATGCCTGACAACTGAAAGCCACGTGGCTCTTATGTTGCCAGGGAGCACTTGGGAAGTCAAAAAGGACCATGAAAAACTTCAAGAGAAATCTCTTGGTACTAAGATACTCTATCAAATAGTTTTAAGCCGCTAAGTGAAAAATAAAACTGAAGAACAATTCTTCAAAAAAGGCTTTCTTACGTTCTTCAAAAAAGGCTTTCTTATAATACAGTAGAGTCTGTATAAATTTTATACAAACAAAATACCTTGTAATATAAATCTTCCTTCAGAGACAGAGCAAAAGACAATCCATGTTCAAGCCACATGTCCAGATGAGGGTTTTGAATTCGTACTGAATGTCAGCATTTACCAAAGGAAGGCTACTAGCTGTTCTGCAACCAGCTTCAAACCTACCTTTCTTTTATCAAGTCCTGACCCTCATTATGAACTATTTTGTGTCTCAGCACAAGGCCATGCTACACAATTCAGCCCTGCAGGAAGAGGGGGAGGTTGCAGCTTCCGTATGTGTGGACTGTTAGTATTGTTTGCTGTGGAACAGAAGAAAGCAAGCTGTATGAAATGACTTTGGCACACACAGTATCACATTGCAGCCCTCTGTATGCAAATTTTATCAGAGCCTACCAGAGCTCCAAGGCCCAAAAGAATTGTGACTGACTCCTTTATTTTTAGCATTAATGGAAAAATGAACTTCAAGCTTCAGAATAAGACTGTGCTGCCAGAGAGTCTGATCTGTGGTCAGAGTATGTATGCACAATGCTGCTTGTGCATGCAAAGGCTGAAAAAGGTTCAGATCTGTCGGAATTGCTCTGCTCTACATGAATGTTAAATTAATGAATGTTAAATTCATGCATTCACGAATACACATTTCCCTTAAGAATCTAAACCAGTCTTCACCTCTTCAAATGTTTCCATGATGTCCATTGAAGTCATTAGGCTGTCCCAGTCTAGCCTGTAAGGTCCAGGGCGAATATGATCCACTATTCTGTTAGTAACATCTTCCACCACTCCTTGAGCCTTGTAGCTAGAAAAACGTGTTTACATGTAGTAAGAAATCCTTTATATTCTATTAATTTTCAACAGTACACTTACATTAACACCTTGGCACCAGGAAGTACAGTCAGTGGACAATTGCATCAGAGAAACAGTAGAGGAGAACACCTATTGAGCCATCTATTCTTCTCTGCAAGAAATCTTCTTCCAAAAAATTGGGGTTTTTTAACACAATATTTTATAAATTACAAATTCCTTCATTGGATAAAAATTTTTGTTTGTTTCTCTAACAACTGTAAACACTTGTCATTTTACTCCTATTGCTTGGCTAGCAAGAGAGTTCACCAGAGGTAAGCAAACCTAAAGTAAAAAGGAGATCAGGAATATAATGGGAAAAACATTTTTCATAAAGCAAAAGTAACAGGATGTTGGAGATTGAAATGCTTGGTTTATGGCTCAAACAGTTTTGTGAAGGACTTCTGCATATTATATCAAAACTGTATAACAAAAGCTGTACAGAAGCACCCTTAGTGGGCCTCCTGACTGAGGCCCTGGTCTGTAAATCCATTTGAGAAGATAGAATGACTCAGGTCTGGGCTGGGGAAGAAAAATACTTCACAGGATTAAACCCCACACCTTCGGGTGGAGGCCACAGTCCTAGGCTTATCTGCTGTCAGGCTGGAACAGACCCTCACACCAAAAGGGAGAGAAGACATTTTGGGTGTGCAGTGAAAAAGCCTCTGCTCTGAGGCAGTGAAAGCCTATCCTCTGCTGTGCACACCAGCTCAGCTGTGGGGCCGCTTCACCCCAGCAAAGCCTCATTTAAGGGACATCCACATGAGGGACGGCAGAGGGGCTGCCATGGCCCATTAAAGGGCTCCCTGGACCCTGCAACAGAACTGCACATGATGCAACAGATCCAGAGTCAGGCAAGGGACAGTGTCAAACTTGCCCTGCTCAGGGGAGGCACCTGCACCTCGGCATTCCCACCTGCCCAAATATATATTTATCCATGGGATTCTAGACTTTTGGATGGGGGACCCTCACCACCAAGAAGACTAGACTGAGGGAAGCCGTGAGGCATCATTAGGACCTACAGAGGGGTAACATGTTTCTACTTACCCTACCTGTGTCACTCTCCTTGTCCCCCCAGACATACCTCTCTTTTTCTCCCTTTTTCTTTGCCTCTTTTACAATTAAATAAAATGTATCAATTTTTCACTATCAACATCTGGCTTGTCTGGCTTTAATCAAGTTTAGGGGAATATGCAAATGTTTTTGGGTTCATTCTGCTTTATTCACAGAGAGTTAGCTCTCTTTATTCCTCTGTGATTAGAGCAGATCATAACACAGGAGTAGAACCAAGCTAATGAGAAACTACATTATGCTTTAGCGGCATATGACTACAAAATAAAATAATTTGGTACATGACATTACAGAATATTCATTTGTAATTAGATATTTTAGTAGACATCAGAGATTTTGTTTTCTTGAGTTACTGGGCCTCCAAATCCTAAGAGTAAGAATCCATCAGAATCATTATTCTCAAAATACTTGCAATGGCTCAACTACACAACCTGCTGGTGCCAGTGGGCCCATGGAACTCTTGGTGTCTGGGGCCATCAGCTCTCACAGATTCAATAGGACTTAAATTCCATGGGGTGTATCAGTCTTTGAAATCATTTTACACACTACCTTTTCACACGACTTTTTGTTTCTTCAGAGTGCTGTCTTTTAGTAATTATTTCTCTACCTAAACCTACAGATACCAACAGAAGCCCGTGACAGAAACTCACACAGGAAGGGCCTTTATGTCACACAAACAACCCCACAAAAATCTCCCACAACCCTACACTTGGTATTTTGGAGTTGCACAGTCACTGCAAGAGTCCAAGGACTGACTGAGCTGTCACCCAGTGGCTCTTCAGGACTACTGAAACCAGGCCTGATTCTGAGCTTTGCAGGACATCATTTCTGAGCAGATGCTGTTCCCACTTCAGCCAAGGGAGCCCTGTGTTGTTCACAGACTTCAACAGATGTTATTTTAGACCCCATGCAATGCTAAAGTATCAAACTGAAAAACTAGAAAGGAATCATACAGCCAAAACAGGTAACCCATTTAGCTTCCCCACTGGAGGATCTGTGTAGCTGAGGGCTGTAGAATTCAGTCTTGATATCTAAATTCTACAGAACACATCCATAGAAGACTAAACTTTGGCAGGCAAACTTACAGGTATCCACTGAATTCCTCTGATGGTTTACGCCACACAGTTGCATCTTTCTGAAAGAAAATATAAGACACAATGTTAATTGTCACTTGGATACAATTAGAAGTGCAGAAAATGCTTCAATTTCGTTGAAGAAAAGCAGCCAACTTTAACATTAGCCATGATTCACCTGGGTACCACTGCACACTTTTCTTCATATTTTTCAGATATCTTTTACTTGTAATTCTATTGTAATTACTTTAAAAATATATAAAAAAATGTCTTTATCAGAGTCAAATGCTAGAAGTGCAATAGTAGGGTTCAGTAGGCCAATCAGGTTATTGTGAAAACACACAGAATAATGGAACAACATTAGCAGGGAAAACCTTTCAATTGCAAGGCCACTGGAAAGCCAACAGCCAGATGCTACTCAGACAGGAAGACTACACTACTTCTGTTTGTACTCCTGTAACACAAGTTACAGAAATGTGCAGGAGGTGCAGGTGCAGACAAAAAAGCTCAATTACCTTTTTCTCCTAGGTGCCTGACTAGAAGAGTCTTGCAAGCAGTAGCCTATTTATTTTAAAGTTATGCAGAGAAAATAGAGAAACCAGTATCTTCCGATTTTTATGTGACTATGACATGGAACCTCTGTACAAAATGTCTGAACTTTGGTGTTGAAAAGAGTACCATATGGCACCACTTTTTTTTGAGTCATGATTATATAAGCACAAAGGACCAAATGGCCTAAAGAACAGTACTGTTAAGTACCACATCCAAAATAATTTAAGGTATTTTGGGGTACAACACATCTCCTTGTGGTAGTAAAGCACTGAATTTCTTTTACATGGCACAATACCAAAATGGAAAGAAAGGATGAGAGAAAGGAGAAAGAAAGGAAAGGCTGGAGAGAGGGGCAAAATCTGAGGATTTGGAACACAAAGATGCAGGTAACTTTTAAAGGAATACAGTAGTACTTAATATAACAACAGAGGAATATTAATAAAGGAATAGACAACATTTAGTAGAGTGGTGTAGGTGTATTGCAAGAGTGAAAGGCTTGTATGCTCTGTTCCTCCCTCTCCAGACAGAAAATTTATTAATTTTGCAAATAATCAAGTTACATTTGGAACAGTTGCCTCTGTCTTACCAGTGTCTGCTCATGATGGAAGAAAAAATAAAAGCACTACTCAAACCACTGTAACAAAAAGATAAAGATAGAAATTTACCACACTAGTCCTACTATTTTGCTACACTTCTTCTTTCTGTGGAGCACAGCACTATAAAGCATTTACCCAGCCTAGAACTGATGGAAAAGCAAAGCCTATTTAACTTGTTGAAGCACAACTCAAAAAAAAAAAAA